CTTGTCTCAACATCTCAACTTTGGACCATGTCATACTACTACAATGATCGAGCTTTTCTGTCCCTGAGCATCTATCCTTTCCTAGGATCAAGCATGCTCTGATACCAACTTGTAACACCCCGACCCAGCCATCCTTGACCCCGGTACGAGGGTTACATGTTCAAGCCGCATTCCCCGTCTGAACCTCCCTTCTAAGCCTTTACTAAGCAAAATCTCCTCTATGAGGTTTGATTGCTTAGGCTAACTTATGCAGCGGAAATCTCTTAGTATTTAAAATTATACTTTCCCTTGGTTTTAGCTTAACCAAGCACTTGCCGGTCTGATGATCTCTTGCTTTCGGTAGTCCACTTGACCACCATTCAGCTCGGAGATCGATCCTTGACTCGGAGCAAGCTGAACATATACACCTACCATTCCGTTCCCCTAGACCATTCTACTTAGAACTAGGCTAGTGACTATCCAGGTAGTAACATTCCAGCTACGGACTAGTCAACATCCTAGCCATCCAGCTCAAGTCTTAGTCTAGTCGATACCCTAGCTATTTCAATCCAGCTACAGTCTTAGCTAATCCATACCTTAGCCATATTCACGAGGTGTAGCTGCAACTTGACTAGCTCCTTTGTCACTCCAGTCAGCTGAGCTCAGCTGGACTCAGCTGATCATGCTCATGGTTGTACAATCAGCTCCCTTAGCTTATACACCATATCTGATCCTTCCTTAGTCATTCAACCAACCATCCCCACATGACTAGGTTAGATCAGAGAGGCTATTCAGCCCCATGGCATGACTAGGGTTGTCCCTTAGGATCGCCCGTTCATCCATGTCCTTCCCCTTGCGGTTTAGTCCAACCGCACACTTGTTCTCCTGATGACTTCATGATCTCTCCCGATCATAGTCATACCTCTCTCGACCGTAGTCAGAGTTCTCGGATATCGCCTGACTGGAATCGTGAGAAATGATCCCATCTGGATCATTTCATCCGACCATTCATTGTACCGTCACGACCATTCGCCAACGGTCGTGGCCATTCCCGGGATACTGGACCAGTATCCCGTGGCCGTGGTCAATCCTCCGATACGGCTCCCCGATTCCATCGATGTTCGGCTGGAATCCTTTTCACGTGCCTACTTGTGTTTTCTCACGGTCCTGGTCACGTTCTCTCGGATATAATCCCGCTTTTCTCGGTAATAGCCACGCTTCACCCGATCATAGTCGAGGACGTCCGGCTATCTCCCGATCGTAGCCCGTTTCATCCGACCATCCCCGAGAGATCTCACGACCCTCGGTAAGGATCCCTCGGCAATCCGATTGTCCCGGATCATCTCTCAGATGAAACTCTTCCCTTCGGCCGTTCTCTCGGGACGATATGATTTTCCTCGGCTATCTTCTCAGTATAGCCGTCTTCTCACGGTGATAGTCACGATCCGATCCTCGGATCTCTCGTGTCTCCCGACTATCACCGCGAGACTGCCGGGGAATCTTCTTCCCTTCCGGATGTCTCTTCTTTCTCTCAGACGAACATCTATCGCCTGGAGTTTCTCTTGGAAGTAGTCAGCATATAACTGTTTCCCCGGTGATAGTCACGAACCGATCCGGCGATCCTATGCGTCGTTCGGCTATCACCGCGAGACTGTCGGCTAATCCTCTCCTCTTCCAGATATCTCTCCTTTCTCTCGGGCGAATATCCATCGCTCAGAGTTTCTCTCGGATGTAATCACGGCTTAACCGTTTCTTTCGGATATAGTTGCGAACCAATCATCCGATCATTCGCATCCCCCAACTATATCCGTGAGACATCGGACTACCATCGTGATTCATCCGGTAAATCTTGTCCCTTGTCGGATATCTCTCCTTTCTCTCGGATATGGTAACGGTGTAACCGCTTCTCTCGGACGTGGTCACGGAGCGATCCATCGATCCTGCATATCATCCGGCTACCAACGGGAGACATCCGACCATTCGTCTTTACCCCTCGGATAACTTGCCTTTCTCTCGGCTAAGTTTCCTTTATCCCGATCATCCCTCGGCGATTCCCATTTATCCGATCATCCCTCGGATATTCTCTATTTCTTCCGGATGATCTTCAATTTCTCCCGGGTAATTTCCCTTTCTCCCGGATGATGCCGGACTTCTCTCAGACATGGTCGTAGCACTCCGGCGATGACTCGACTGGAATCCGGACATCCCTGTTTCTCCCGGAGCATCTCTGATTCTATCGGATGATCCCCATTTTCTCTCAGATAAATCCCCTTTTTCCCGGATAATACCGAACTTTTCTCGGATATGGTCGGAGCAGTTATTTGGCCATAACCACTTTTGGCCGAGCTCCACCAGCAACAGCTGACTTACTACTGCCTCAGTCACACCTTAGCTCAGTACCTAGCTGGTCAGTCCGCCCAGCTGGGTCAGTACTCGATCAGCTGACTGAGCTAGGTTGAGCTGCCGGTCAGCTAGTCCCGCTAGTAGTCAGCTGGTTCAGCTAATAGTCAGCTGGCCCGGCTAGTAGTGAGCTACTCCAGTTTGTTCAGCTCGACTATACCGACTCATGCATTTTGTCCGACTAAGTCCTCCGGACTTGTTTCTCAACTTTGCCTAAGTCGTTTCCTTAACTTGTTCACGATCAGTCCCCTTTGATCTGGACTGAATTATCCTTTTCCTCTATACAAACCACTTTTCCTCTATACAAACCGGCCCACTATTCCGAACAAGTTCCAGGCTGTTACAGGTATTGCGATAAACGAGGTCACTTAGCTCTCATCTATGAATACATGTCTAACGTAGACTTAAAATATCATTTGTCAGGGGAAAAAATGTTTATAAATATTATTATTCCTTCGTTATTACAAAAATCATATGATATCTGATTTTTGATGATTTAATGCAGGAAAACATGATGTCTCTATTTTGAAATGGAGTACTCGATTAAGAATAGCCATTGATGCTGCACTGGGTTCTTCCTAACTCAAAAATCTTTTTTAGTCAGTTTGTTTGTTTAAACAAAACATTTCTTCTGATCACTGACCATCTTCTTTATTTAATAAACTTAATCCCCCACATAATTAACCAGTCATGAAATATTTCTAAAACAATTTCAAAAAAATGTTTCATTGCTTTTTTCAGATTCTTATTACAATAAGTATATATTATTCATATGAACATCTGCTCATTTTTGTAGGATTAGAATACTTACATATTGGATGTCGACCATATATGATGCATAGAGATGTCAAAAGTACAAATATTTTGTTGGACCAACAATTTACAGCAAAAATTGCGGATTTTGGACTTTCAAGATCTTTCCAACTCGGAGATGAAACTCATATTTCGACTGTTGTTGCTGGTACTCCTGCATATCTTGATCCCGAGTAAGTATTCTAAAACACTGTTTTTTAGAACCCGATCATCTTTTTCGTCGATGCTATGGACTATCCTAGATGTGAACTTCACCGTGTCATGTTAAAATGTGTGTCCTTATTCATATACCTTGGTACCATGAACACTTGTGAATCACGCTTCATATTCTTGCCTTGTCAGATATTATAGAACCGGTCGGTTGGCCGAGATGAGCGATGTCTACAGCTTTGGGATTGTGTTGTTGGAGATGCTCACTAACCAACGTGTGATTGACCAAAACCGCGAAAAGCGACACATAACAGAATGGGTAGCGTTTGTGCTTAATAGAGGAGACATTGCCAAGATCATGGTGATTACAATTCAAATTCTGTGTGGAAAGCTCTTGAACTAGCTATGTCATGTGCAAACCCTTCTGCAGAGAAACGACCAAGCATGTCCCAAGTTATCAGCGGACTAAAAGAGTGTCTGACTTCTGAAAACTTGATGAGAAGTAAGAATCAAGAAATGGATTCAGATAGTTCCGTTGAAATGACCATAAGCTTTGATACCAACGTTTTCCTTATTGCAAGGTAGTAGTATTTGTAAAAAAAACCTCATTTATGTTGATGAACTCCTGCTTGTGGTATGATTCTTTGGTCAATGTTTGTTTTATGACATTATAACTAAATGTTGTTCAAGAAAAAAAAAGACATTATAACTAAATAAAAGGAATTTATGCCGTTAACTTTCACACAAAACCATTTATTTCTCAACACAAAATTTATAGCCCACAATGGCATAATGTGCATGGTTGAGAAAGCCATGGGTTTCCTTCAACACCATGGATTGTTGTGAAGGACCAATAGCTTATATATATATAAATCATGAAATAAGAAACCATAATTTCAAAATTTTAAAAATTATAGTCAACTCAGTGAACTTATGGCCCATCAAAGTGATTTGAAATTGTGATTAACAAATTTCAAAAAGTTTAGGAAAGTTTAGTAAAAAATGTTTTTTTCCAATTTTTTTATAAAGAATTTCTGTGTAGTAAAATCTCTATAAATTAATAATATTAGAATTTTCAAAATTTGTTAATCGATAAAAATATCTTTCGGTTCGAATTCTTAATGTTTATCAAAACACAAAAACCAATATTTTTAATAATATAAAATTTATTCAAAAAATATCATAAAAATAAATTTAGAAGATTTAATCAAACAAAAATTATAAACTTAAAACAATAATATAACCATATTTTAATATATTACATTATTTATATATACCTAAATATATAACTATCAATTTATATAATTATTAGGATCATATTTTTATATAGAAATTTTAAAAAAATATATTATCTTGCTATTTTATCAAAATTATTAATTTTTTTATTAATTCAACTCAAATATTTTTTTTAATTTATAAAAATTATTATTAATTTATTGAATATTAATTTATTAAGTCTCGATAACAGTTAATATTAAATACCCACTTGTATTAAAAACTTATTATGGGCCAAATTTAGGGCTACAAAGCCCACAATAGAAACGAGCCATTGTACAAAACTAGTTCAGATTTGTCTCTCTGACGCGAAGCAGTCACCTGGCAACAACCGAAATTAAGAGAGAGAAATCATTTCTGCAGAGAGAGAGAGAGAGAGAGAGATGAGGTTGTTCGATCCATGGCCGGTGTTCTTCAAGAGGGAATGGAAACGTTGCTGGCCATTCATCACCGGTTTCGCCGTCACCGGCGTCCTAATCACCAAGTTAACCGCCGGACTCACTGGTAAGTCGTCGGATCCCAACGATCTTCTCTTCAATGATGAAGTTCAAAATTTCTTTCTCCCCTTCGTTTTGTGTTAATGGATTTAGATCGGATTTATGTTTCTCTGGGTCTCGTATTGTGGATTAATTTTGATTGTGTAAATCCCTAATTTCGCATAATTTGCAGATGAAGATGCCAAGAACTCAAAGTTCGTCCAGCAACACAGGAGGTAAAGCCAAAACTCATCCTTTACTAATAGATAGTCTTAGATTTCGGACTTTTTTTTGGTGTTTCTATGGTAATTACTATTTCGCTGTTTGGGAGATGTTTAGGTCTTAGAGCATTGAGAAAGGATATAACCAAAATGACCCTGAGGTCTATTAATGGATCCCAAGCTTTAGCACTTGCTTAAAATTGCCTAGAAATGTATATTTGGTTCATCGCCAACTACATAATCCTCAATTTGATTTCCTTATGCTGTTTCTTCTTGCCTGTTTGCGTTAAGAAATATATTTATGATATCAGAATCAGATAATAGTAACAATGGTTGCTGTATATGGTTACTTTTTGTTGCTTGGTTTGCTATTGACGCTGCTTAAAGTTGCATCCAATGCCTAAAGATTTCAACTTTGGTTTGTGCCTCAGGTGATTTGGTAGAAGCTATATGTAGAAGCTGAGAGGCACATTTCTGTCAAATAGGGTTTTGATGCTTCAGCTTCCAAGCATGTTCAATAACAAAAGGAGGATTCTTTATAGCACTATGGAATCTTTTCTTCAAGTTTTGCAATTCTTTACCCAAAACTTAAAACAATGGAATTGTGCTTTTGTTCACCCTATCTTCTTCCCATATGTTTGAAAATGGAATTTATTGGCTTTTTTTTCTCTCTTTTCCTTTCATGCGAGTGCACATCTCACTGTAAGGCTATGCCCTCTTCAATGAATAACATATCCTCCAGTTACCCTTTGGTTTCGATAAAGCTAGTCTCTTTCTGAGTTTGTCTTTATAATAAGTTTGGGTTTTAACTTTGATGATCGTGTACATAACTTTGTATACTTCTAAATAAGTAGCTTTCGAAAAAACAAGCAATGTGTACATAACATGTTTGTGAATCGTTTTGACGCCTAAAGATGAGAGCAATTGTTTACCTAATTTGAAGTATGGAAAAATGGCTTCACCTGTTGTAGCATCGAACGCAAATAGCAAGTGAGTGTTGTTTCTTTACTGAAAAAGCTTTCGTTCCTCATAATCTTTATTTTTCTCTACTAAAATTTTTCAACCGTAGAAAATAGAAACATACTATATGAAAAACCAACCACCTGCACCGTGGAAACTGAAAAGTAGAATTGAATTATAAGTGCATTCACGTTTGCTTTTGATTGGTGGACAAGTTTTTTTAGTTCTTGGGGACTCCGAGCCTTTGCCTAAAGTCTTCTTCCATAAGAGGAAGTCCATCACGGAGCTTCACCTTTGGTTCCCATCCCAACACTTCTTTAGCCTTTGTGATATCTGGCTTCCTCTGTCTTGGATCATCCGGTGTGTTCTCAACCATCTTTATCTCTATGCTCGGGTTTATAAGCTGCAACCAAAACCAGCATATCATTACCACAACTCACAAGAATCTGAAATTTCTTAGAACTCTTATCAATCAAGAAACTTAGACTCTCTCACCTCCTTCACTGTCTCAGCTAGTTCCACCATCGTAAACTCACCTGAGAAACCAAAAGTTTCATACTCAAAGCATAAGTTCAAGAGATGGATTGGTTTGTGTTTAGTTTAATGGAAGAATGTTATAAAGGCTTACCTGGGTTACCGATGTTGATAGGACCAGTGTCATCTCCTTCCATGAGACGCATAAGTCCATCGACCATGTCAGATACATAACAGAAACTGCGGGTCTGAGTCCCAGGTTTCTGAACAGTCAATGCCTCACCCCTTTACATTCAACAACAAGAACAAATAGATGAATAATCAATTTGGGTTCTAGCTCAGAAAAATGAAAATTCTGTTTGACAAATTGAGCAAAAGGGGCTCACCGAAGTGCTTGAGCAATGAAGTTGCTCACGACACGCCCATCGTCTATATTCATGCGTGGACCATAAGTGTTGAAGATTCTCGCAATGCGGATTTCTACAAAGAACAAACAAACACAAGGTAAGTAACAAAACACAATGAGAGAATTCTCTTGATGAAACTAGGAGGCAAAAAAGGTTGAAGCGAGAGAGCCTTGGGAAGATACAACTGACCAATTCCATGCTGCCTGTGGTAGTCAAACATTAAAGTCTCAGCAACACGCTTGCCTTCATCGTAACAGCTCCTAACACCTTTTACAATAGCAACCAATTTATTAGACTGTGAACTGACACACATATATCAGATATAAGTAAAAGGTGGTCAGGAGTATGAGCCTACCAATTGGGTTGACATTTCCCCAATAGCTCTCTGGCTGGGGATGGATCAGAGGATCTCCATAGACCTCTGAGGTCGAGGTAAGCAAAATCCTGTTCAGAAGAAGAGTTATTTAGTGAAAAAAGGCAAGTAAAGATCAAGACAAGTAATAAAGAGGGGATTATGTCCCAAACCTTGCTCCAACACGCTTGGCAAGACCTAGCATGTTAAGTGTGCCGATCACATTGGTCTTGATCGTCTTCACGGGGTTGTACTTGTAGAAGATAGGAGATGCAGGACATGCAAGATGGTAAATCTGATCAACCTCGATCAACAGTGGCTCAGTAACATCTGTTAAACCCAAAAAACCAAATAGAAAAAAATGAGCTAGCAAGATTCAAACAAGCCGGCTATATACTGTTACTCAGTAGCAGCAACAAGCTAGAGAGATGCAAGACCATACCGTGACGGATAAGCTCAAATCTAGGATGACCAATCCATTTCTTGAGGTTGTCCTTTGAACCGGTGAAATAGTTATCAGCAACAATCACCTAAGTGAGAAACGATATAAACCATCATCAGTAGTTGATCAAACGACGCATAAAGTATTATGTAATGGATTCAGGCATTCTAATGCAAACCTCATTCTTTTCGTTCTCCATGAGCTTATCGACAAGGTGAGAGCCAATAAATCCAGCTCCTCCTGAGATCAAGATCCTCATATTGGACTATACAAATGAGAAACATTAAACCATTCAGTACATTTTATAAAGATTTAAGACCAAATAACAAATCACACACTGTGACATCAACACAACTCTACTATACACACTAAATCATAGTCAATAAGATGAGGAACCCACACAACAGAGTACAACAACACCTATTGATTAAAGTTCAATTAAACTCTCTCACAGAACACACAGAGTCTTCTCCTCACAGGTCAGATCTAAGCAAAAACATCCAGGATTCAATCTCAATGATCCTGGTGACCAATTAAAAGACCCCTTAACCTAAAATCCGTATGATTTCTATACGATGCCAACGAGATCAGGTGAATTAAAAATGATCAATTCAACAAAACTATATAGGATCACACAGCCATGATCCGACAAAACAACAAGGATCAAAACACGAGATTCGCCCTCAAAATCGGATAAAGCAACAGTAACGGTCAGATGTTAATGGGTATCGCCGAATCAAATAAAAATCTCGAATCCAGCTGATACTCTCCACCAAAAAAAAATGTAAAATTTACCTGAAAAAACTTGGAATTGCGGAGAGGTGAAGGCGAAGGTGGAGGCTTTGGGCTTGTTTGTTTGTCGCTTGTCGCCATTTCTGAGATCACAACCCTACGATTTCGAAAAAGCAAATCAATCAACCGAGAAATGAAAATTTCGATTGGAGAGAGGCTCGACAATAAATTACGAGATCGATTCCGAATTCCGATGAAACAAGCCTTTGAAGAGAAGAGAACCCTAAAACCAAAATTGGTGTGATCTGCAGAGTGCGAGGGATCGTATTACTTATAGTCACAAGTGTCGGAACTTCCTCTGCAATTTTTGAATATATTTTGGGAATTAAGATATTTTTTTCCCCAAATTTTTAAGAGTTTTATTTAACTTTGGGTGAGTTTATTAATATAAGACGAGAGACTTCAAAACCACGAAAAGCGGATAATCAAACTGAAGCTAATTTCGTTGTTAGAGCATCTCCAATCTACCTCTATTTTAGAGGAAAAAATAGAGTTTGGAGGAAAATTCTCTATAATCCACTTCTATTTTTTTATCTATAATAGAGAATACTATTTTCTCCTCTATATTTAGAGGAACTCTATTTTTTTCTCTATAATAGAGATATACTTTTTTATTTATAAATTGACCCCTTAATTTTTAGATCTTTTTATTTTTATTTATTAACTAGTTTGTATATGTCCTAAAATAGCTATATATCTAACATATAAATTTAATTAAACTATATAATATTAAATAACTTTAATAAAATTTAATAAAATCAACATATAATATAACTAAATTGGAAAATTCTCATTCATCTCAAATTAGATTATAAATAAAATTATAAATTACAATAATTTTTTTAAAAATACAGAAAATTATAAAAAATGACAAATACTAGTGATTTAATAATCTGGCAATTTGCTTCCAGATCCACTGATATCATTCAAATATTGATCCAAGAAAGTAGATGGAAGAGGAGCTTGTTGATCTTGATGTTGATCACTTCGCTTTTGTAAAATTCGTGCTTGTTGAGCTTGAATGTATGAGCGAATATTTGGATCTTGTATAGAACTCAAATCACAAAATAAAATTTTGTTTTCTTCTTTCAGTTCTTTCAAGGCATAATTCTTTTTTTGAATCTCCAACTGATCTTGTCTTTGTGAGCTTGACTTCTTTAATTGCTCCAAAAATTGCTTATTTCCTTCTTCTAAGGTGTTGATAACTGTTGTTGTTTGATCAACAAGTTTTCTTTTTATTTTGGATTTCTTCACCCCTGTTGGCCTTGGAGAAGGAGATCTGCCAATTGTTTCGTTGTCATCATCTAAATTTAGAGAATTAGACAAACCTGGAAACTCTTGTGTAGGAGAATCAAGTGTGGGATCTTCTGATTCTAAAGATGTATTCACGAGACCATGTGGGATTGATAGGCGTTTAGGAGGTACAGCAGCCTGAAACTTTTCAAAGTTCTTGACAATATTCCAAACATGCTCAAATTTCCAACCTGTTTTAAAGTTTGGATCTTCTCTGAACATTGTTTTGGCTTGATTAATCTGCATAGCATCAAAACATTTATTTATATATTCGAAATTGAATATATATCTTACTGATTAAAATATATATACCTATATATATTATATATATTAATTTTAGTATATTTTTAACATATAAAAAACGTTTTTGAAAACATTTATAGCAAAAAAAGAAAGCAAACAAAATTAAAATTTTCAAAAAATTATATAGGCAAATTATATGTTAATACTTACAATATCATCATTTGAAGCACCACTTGTACGTCTATTTTCACAGTGTTTAATGCATGCGTGCAACTTTTTTGTAGATTTTTAGATAGTTTGAATTCGATCGATTTTCTTGAACGCTCACACCATGTTGCATTTTTTTGATTGTTGTAAGCTTCTACTACACGAGCCCAAAAACGATCGGATGTTTGATAAACACCTACAATTGGATCTTGCGAAATTTCTATATAAACTTGACATAGAAATTTATCTTCTTCTTGAGAATATCCATAAGAACGAGACATTTAGTCAAATATGAATACTGAATTGTGGAGTAATTTCTAGTTGTTAATGAAAATAGCTATTGATGTTGATATTTATAGATGAAATAGTAACTCACAAGACATTTATGATTTCTAACCATTTAATGTTATTCTTATTTTGTATTTTTTTGTAACTCCCTTTTCTTATGTTTAGACGATAGATTTATTTATGTTCACCACTGCATGTTTGTAAGTAGGTTTGTCTGATCGTGCTCCATTAATTGACCAATGCATGTTTCAAATAGTGATAGACAAAGTTAACATAAATAGGTTTATAATAGGGCTTCTTAATTTGTATTTCTAACTAGTTTACTTTTGATTTACACGATAAAGCCTATAATCTATTCACCAATGCATGTTTGAAATAATGTTTGTTTGATCATGCTCTCTTAATTGACCAATGCATGTTTAAAATACTAATACATAAAGTTAAAACAATGTTGGTTTACAATCGAGAGTTGTGTTTGTATAACTGACAAAATGTATTAATTCAAAATAGTTTGTCCAATTAATAATTAGTCTTAGAAAATATTTAAATTAAAATATTTGGGAACCACAAAATAAAAGAGTAAAGCTATATGTTAAATGGAGTAAGACAACAATAAAGCTGATACCAAGAGGCAAGAATTGTCACCATTCTCTTAGAATTTTGTTTGCCATTAATCAGAAATTAATTATATTAAATAAGAAACAAAAATTCAAAATTCAAAACATGTCATCACATCTCTATAAATACTGCGACTTTGGTTATGATTGACATCACAATCTAAATATATATCTTTTGTTTTCTTTATATTACATTTTATTCTCTTTCAAAATGAATTTCAATTTTAAAAATCATTCAAATTTTTATATTTCATCATCTTCTTCCGATGATGATGAAAATATGGAAACTATCAATAGTCTCGATCAAGAAGAAGAAGCATTACATCTTGCTATTGCTAATAACAATACTGCCATCCAATTTTTTCTTAATCAACAAGAAAACCAGGTGATTCATGGTGGCTCAGTTCTCGGGCGTGCTTTCATCCATCGCGATCGAGAAAGCGCACATCATAGATTATTCAACGATTACTTCTCAGAGACTCCAAATTACAATGATGTTATGTTTCGAAGGAGATATCGTATGTCTCGTTCTCTATTCCTTCGTATTATTGATGCGGTTGAAGGTCATGACAACTACTTCACGCAAAGACGGGATGCAATGGGTAGACCTGGATTATCATCCCTTCAAAAAGTGACGGCTGTGTTTCGGATGCTAGCATATGGTCTTCCTGCAGATGCCACAGACGAGTACATAAAGATAGGCGAATCAACGACAACCGAAAGCATGAAAAGATTTTGTCGAGCTGTAGTGGAGATATTTTCAGAGCAATACTTACGGTCACCAACACCTGCTGACATTTCAAGACTTCTTTACATTGGTGAAAAAAGAGGTTTTCCAGGAATGCTTGGTAGTTTAGATTGTATGCATTGGAAGTGGAAAAATTGTCCTACCGCATGGGCTGGACAATATGCAGGTCGTAGTGGATCTCCTACTATAATTCTTGAAGCCGTGGCAGATTATGATATTTGGATATGGCATGCATATTTCGGAATGCCAGGCACTAACAATGATATTAATGTGCTGGAGTCTTCGCATCTTTTCTCCAATCTCGCGCAAGGTATCGCCCCTCCTGTTCATTATATCATTCAAGGAAAGGAATATAATATGGGTTATTATTTGGCTGATGGTATATATCCGAAATGGTCCACCATAGTGCAAACTATTCAGCAGCCAATTGGTCCAAAGAAAAAATATTTTGCCACACAACAAGAAGCATGTAGGAAAGATGTTGAACGTGCATTCGGAGTTCTCCAATCGCGTTTCGCTATTGTGAAAGGACCGGTACGTTTTTGGGAAAAGAATGTGTTACATGATATAATGACTACATGTATAATTTTACATAATATGATCATCGAGGATGAGCGTGATCTCAGTGCGCCAGTTGAAATTAGAAGAGAAGCTCCACCTCCAGATGTCCAAATAGCAGAAGATGATAGTATCCAATTTCAAGAGTTTTTAGGTCGTTTTAGAAAAATCAAAGATAAAGAAGCTCATTTTTCACTTCGAAATGCGTTAATTGATCATTTGTGGGAAAAATCATTCAGTAGTGATAATTAAATTAAAATATGTTGTATTTTATTTTATTATATGTTGTAATGTGATATTTTTATGAAATAAATGTTTAATTTTGATATATTTTTATTATTTATGGAAATTTTTGTAAACAATAATATAAGTGGGGTTAATTTATGAATTTTATAAAAAGAAAGAGTTAATAATAAATTATAAAAAGAATATTTTTTAAATACTATATTTTTAGAGGAAAAAATAGAGGACACATTGGAGAGAAGTACACCTCTATTTTAGAGTTCCTCTATTTTAGAGGAAAAAATAGAGGAACACATTGGAGATGGTCTTAGCTAATAGCTACTCTCCATCATGACAACGTTTGACCAAACGCAGATCTGATAAGGCAATTCAAGAAGCATAAAGATTTTTTTTTTGGGACTATTTATTTCAAATTTAGTTGTTAACAAATTGTTCAAGTGCAATTTACTTCATCTATTTAGAGGTGGACATTCGGGTTATGAAATCGGATCAGATTGATCAGATCGGATATTTTGAATTTTGAGTATTTTGGGAATCTAATAATTAGTCCCGATCGAATAGTTTCAAAATTTGAATCGAGTTTGGTTTGGTACTTTTCGTGTTTCAAATACTAAATTTTGGATCTGTTTTTTTTTAGATTTTACGAATTCGGT